ACTCAATGTGGCAAATAAAATATTGTAGGTGGATTTTATCATAGATTGTAAGTTAGGAATCCTAAGGGGTTTTTTTTGTTTGTTTGTTTGTTTGTTTTTTGAGATAGAGTCTCACTGTGTTGCCCAGGCTAGAGTGCTGTGGCGTCAGCCTAGCTCACAGCAACCTCAAACTCCTGGGCTCAAGCGATCCTTCTGCCTCAGCCACCCGAGTAGCTGGGACTACAGGCATGTGCCACCGTGCCCGGCTAATTTTTTCTATATATTTTTAGTTGTCCAATTAATTTCTTTCTATTTTCAGTAGAGACGGGGGTCTCACTCTTGCTCAGGCTGGTTTCGAACTCCTGAGCTCAAACAATCCGCCCGCCTCGGCCTCCCAGAGTGCTAGGATTACAGGCATGAGCCACCACGCCTGGCCCTAAGGGTTTTTTTGTTGTTTGTTTTTCTGTTCTATCATTGAGTTATAATGCAGATTTTTTGGTTAGTATTTGTAGTGGTGGTGAGAGCTTGGTGGGATCTTTAAAAGGCATTTGGGTCAGGAGGGATCCACCCTCATGAATAAATTAATGTCCACTCTCAGTTCCCACAAGATCGGTTGTTATAAAGTGAACATAGCTATGTCTCTTTGCACTTGCCCGCTCACCTTTCTGCTTCTCTGCCAGAAGCTGAGCAAATGCTGGTGCCATGCTCTTTTCTTTATAAATTACCCAGCCTCAGGTATTCTGGTATAACAACACTAAACAAAAACAATATTCTTCTTTATAAATAATTTGTAAATTTGATGGAATAATAGAATAATGATAAGAAGAAAGTGAATACCAGAGGTTTAAAACAAGAACAGAAGTTTTAGCCTGGAACTAACATATGCACATAGTATTGTCCTAAAACCAGAAACCCAGTGACTCGATAAATACCATTTTACAAAGATCTTGCTAAAGTTCCATCTTCACTCCTTATTACTAACTCTTCCATAAGTTCCATTACTGGTAATTGCTTTACAAATCAAGAACCTTGATTCCATAAAAGTACAGTCCACCTACCAACTGGGTTTCTAAGAACCCAGCTCTTAGAAAGAGACAGTGAGAATGGAGCTAAATTAGAGAAAACAGTTCTTAGAGAGCAAGTAGTTAAAGTTGGCTGTGGAGTTTAGAGAAACTTGAATAAACCAAAGAACAGCACAGCTCGTGATTACCATGAAGTTAGACCATTCTTTTCACATTACAGATCAAGAAAGCAAACAGTATTGCAGTATCCCTGGATTTTAATTTATTCTTACCTCACCACCCGTTTTTATTCCGGAAGAAAATAATCTAAGTTATCTTAGATTAAAGCTATTGAAGGAAACAGGCTAAAACTAATCAATGCCAGTTTATCTCCTATAAGTAGAATTGCTATTCTAGAGAGAATGGGTTAGGTGTGTTCAATTGCTTTAGAAGATGAGTTATCCAAATACATATAGCACATCACTGAAAAGTCAAGTGGGAAGAGAAAAAAAGTCACTTTTATTTATTATGCTTTAATAATTTCTAAGTTTTTCCCTTTTTGATGTCATTTAGGTTTGGCATATCCCCATGGGTTGTTTTTTAGAATAAGGCTTTTAATGAGCATAAGGACTTAACCAGTATTGGGCTGAGTTTGAGCCTACTTTTTTGGTTACTTTCCATCATATTTGTACCTTCCTATTCATAGACCATTGGTTAAGCCTTGCATAGGATCGTGTTACAATAAATGCATTTTCCACTGACAATGAAAGCAAGTAGAGTCTATTTCTGCTCTATTTCCTAGTATATTTGAATGTGAAATGTATCCTGCACAGAGGATGCTTCAAAACAGGTGCATACTTCGAAAGGTTTTCTTGAGATTTGAACGCATGAATTCCTGGGTAACTGATTAAGCTTGAAGAGATTTGATGATGTTTCTCTGGTAATGAGGGGCCTGAAAAATTGGGAACCTTTGAGTCTTCAAAAATTGTTAATGGTAATAATATAAAAGTTCATCAAGGAAATTAAGGGTAACAACTCTTAATTACTTTGTGGTACTGTGTTATTGCTTTTTAACAGCCCTTTACATGTTATCTTACATTGCAAAATGAAAATGATAACTTCAATTTCCCTTGCTAGCTTTTAGCCTTTAAACTCCTTAAGGAAAAATTCTGTGTCTTGTTAATTTCTGTATCTCCCTTGGTCTCCTACAACAGAAAGCACTCTTGCAAATACTCACTGCCTCTTCATGGCCAGGATTCATGTTGATAATATGGCACGAAATGATCCCTTAGGGTTTTCTTATGCTGTAATCATTTTCCAGATTTTTATTGGAAGAGAACAAAATTTGTGCCTTCTACCTCAGTCTCTTTATGAGGATGTGTTATCAGTCTCCCTGGCTGGCAAAAGTCTTTTCATTCTTATTTCATTTGCTTGGTTCAAAATCATAATTTGTGACCATTCAGATACCAGTGGTGTCTCCATACTACCATAATTACCTCTTTATCTGAAAACTGTTGCCCCTTACCATTTGTCCCATCATTGATAGTTTTTGCATGCTCTATTTTTTGTGTATTCTGTTTTTTAGTGTTTACTATTAAAACTTTGTAGACAAAGACCCTGTTATATATTTGTACCTACCTCTAATCTAGTCCCTTTTTGACAGTGGTATTAATAATACCAGATTGTCAAGCTCTGTAATTATAAAATAATATAGTGTCTGGCATGAAAGTTATTCAAATTCAAAGTGGAACTTTGATTAAACATAGCTGATGCTTTGCCTTATCCGTCACTAGAAATAAGAACGTATTTCTTAAGCCTACTGACATAGAATCATGGAGTGGGAATTGACAGGAAAATAGATGGATCAGTGTTGGTGTTTTTGAGTTAGACACACATGGCTCCCTGAATCTATATAAATTTCCTATCTAAAGTCTATTTGTTTTTTACCTCTTAGTAATTCTGTCACGTTACCCTGTTTATTTCTTTCACAGCATGAAATTGTTCTGTTTGCTCTGTTGTTTCTCTCCCTATCAGATACCTTGTTTGTCTTATTCACTGTTGAATTACTAGCACTTACTTTGGAGTTTGGCACATACTAGAAGCTTGATAAATATTTATTGATTGAATGAATCATGAGAAGCATACTCAGGCTCATGAACGTGAACACCTGCTTGGAATTTCTAAAGCCACTCTTTCTTCCACAAACTGAATTTGAGAGACACATAAAGAGAATCCACCAACACCTCCCCCTCCACACACACCCAACTTCCTACTCTGCCACCCCACCTCCAGCTACAGGAGTTACTGCTCGTTGGTTTACATCCCAGACCGACTTTTTGCAGTAAAGCAGTGATGTGGTTGTAAAGATACAGGGCTGAATATGCACTTGTCTAGACTTAATTTAATATAGACTATTCAATTTATACCTTGTTTTTCATGTTCTTCACTCTAATGTCCTGATAGGACTAAAATTGTATCCAGAGTCTGAGCACACTTCTTGCCTAGGGCAGTAATAGACCTTTCTTCAAATTTAAATTAGCTGAAAGCTGGTTGTCCTGTATGTGAAAATGTAATCTTAATATC